ACTGCAAATGCCAAACTAAATGGTGAAATGTTGGAAATGTTCCTCTGAAATATCTTCACCCCTCAGTTACATCTCCTCTCCCAACTCCCCACACCTGTGTTAAGTGCGATGTACTTCCTGGAACTCACAGGTGTGTGATTCCTATTTGTTGAATGAATAGATGAATGGATAAAGCAGAGTCCCCTAGTGCTAAAATGCAGGTTAAAGAAAGGTTGCCAGGGAAGCCCTGATTCACCACCTGTATCCAGTTAGCCCTCAAAGACTCTGAATGAAATGTGAGTCTTGTCAATGTGGTGGCCCTGTGACATATAAGGCATTCCAGATGGCTCTTGAACCTCCCTTACTTTACTGTGTAAACAGCATATCCCCAACTTGTTTTCCTTTACTCAGCCTTTCTGTGGACCAGCTCTTTCCCTTTATGAATGGGAATAGAAATAACAAGCTTGACTCACAGAGTTGAGAGAATTTACTGAGGGCTCATGAAGCAGTTAGCACAGTACTTGTCACACAGTAAATACACACTGCATGCTGGTTATTGTTATGTGGCTCTAATTAGTAGTAGTATTAGGCCTATTTTAAATTTCATGCTATAATGCTTTTCACATAAAAGCAACTTGTCCAAAACCATGTTTGCTTAAAGAATGAATGACGGATCTGCAATGCCACAATACAAATTTTTAAGCACCTTCATCCAGTTACCCATCACTCAACCAAAATAAGTTCCATGCTTCCTTTGTGTCCAATGCTATAAGGATTAAGACAGGATTCTAATCTCTGAGGACCACATTGCTTGTCAGAAATCACAAGACAACATAAATATATTTTAATGTGAAAAATCTACATTGGTAACTCTATTTTTATGCCTATCTCTGTTAAACATGATATACTGACCGTTGTTAAGACAGAATTAGCAGAGGACCAAAAAATCAAGCTATGTTAGATCAGAGACTCTCTCATAAGAACTTGAGGCCAATACTAGTATAACTTTGCCAGCTATTGACTTTAAAGGTAAGGCAGAGTAACAAGGACGTTGGATTCAGAGTTAGAAGATGAAGCTCAGAGTTATTGGAAGCTGAAGAATCCATCATGGGATTGTTGAACTCCCAAGTGGAAATTGCCAACAAAGCATACATCTCATTAATTCAGGTCCCTATCAATAGAACCTTGGTGTCTTTCGTACATGGCAAAATGAATTTTGAAGAGTCAGTGCAAAAGGTCCTTTGTTAGAGAAGGATGTCAAAGAAGAAATGATCCAAGCCTCAAATTACTCAAAAAGTTTTCACATTCTGCCTTGTTACCAGAAAACATTATAACCCAGACATATATTAGCTAAGATTAGAATATTAATATCTGACGGGACATAGTAGATTTCTGTCACACCATCTATTGCTCAGCACCTTTGGAGAGCCCTAGCTGTACTTGGAAATCTTTTTGCCTTGTTAGTCTTGTCTTCTTAAGTAGAAGACAGTAAACAAGTACTTGAGTCCAAGGATCTACCAATCAAATGCAGCCATGTGAGACTTATGTGAAAAAGAAAACAATATAAAATTGAAGGTTTGTGAAACCTATGTTCTGGAGAGCACATGGTTGACATGCACAAGTCTTCAGGAAGCAGGGGCAAATCTCCTGGTTGTTCTTGTATGCTGGCACTGACAGCTGCCTGCTATTTGTTGGGGTGTGATGTGTACCATGGATGTCATGACTGGTGGCATAGCTGATCATCATTACCAGCTATATAGTACTTAAGTCTGAGTTTCTGACCCAGAAAACAATAAGGGGCTCTTCTACTTAAATCTTTTTTCTTTTTAATTTAATTTTATTTTATTTGTGAACATACTGTACAGAGGGGTTACAATTACATGGGCAAGATAATGCGTACATTTCTTACCAAGCATTGCAGCCTCCTCCTTTGTTTACCCTTCACATCCCTTCCCAGCCTCCCCCCTCCCCCCCAATCCCAATCCTTCTCCTTCCTCCCCCTTCCCCTCCCCCCCCCCCCCCCCCCCCCCGCACCGACATTGTAAAGCTCGTTTTGGACATGACAACTTGTACTTCTCATTGTTGCAACAGGTCCACCTGTATCCTTAAACAACTGGTTTTTCCTTCTACTTAAATCTTAATATATTCTTGCAACCAACATATGCACTGGGTTAGATAAACATCCAAAGAGGTTCCACTCTCAGGCTGGGCAGAGAATATTATAATCTGGGGTTGACATGAATATCCAGAAACTACCCACCAACCATTCATAGCCTCTCATTAAAGGTAAAGAAGGAAACAGAGCAGGTGGTTTCTGTGTTTTGTGCTTTGACCATCAAATCCTGTTTCTGAAAATCCTGGCTTAACTCAACGTTTACTCTGGAAGGCTCAATAAGTGATGGAAATGTGACATGGTGCAGTGAATATTCACTGGATTAGAATAAGCATGTGTGTGATAGAAGAATGTAAATGAGGCGGGTAGACCAATTGCTCTCTTTGCTTCTAAGTTAGAAAGGCACCAGAGATTTGGTTTGAACAGTATGCCATAAATTACCAAAACACTGAAGTAGAAAGCTGAAAAACCTACAAAACCCTAGAATCTTCCACCAATGTGTTTATTTATTCAAATGTCTCTGATGGGAGGTGATAGCTGCTACTCAGAGGCTGAGATCTCAGGATTATAGTTCAAATCCAGCCCCCACAGGAAAGTCATGGAACTCTTCTCTCCAATTAGCCTCCAAAAACAAGAAGTGAAGCTTTGGCTCCCGTAGTAGAGCACTAGCCTTGAGCAACAAAGCTAAGTGATAGTGCCCAAACCCCAAGCTCAAGCCCCAGTCCCAGCAGGAACCCTTCTCTCTCTCTCTCTCTCTCTGTCTCTCTCTCTCTCTCTCTCTCTCTCTCTCTCTCATACACACACACACACACACACACACACACACACACACACAATATCGGATGGAACTCTCAAGCATTACTTAAAAACATAATGTCTAAAAAAAGGGATTCTTTGATGCAATTTAACTTTTTTCTTTCAGTTAAAAAATTAGCAGGTAACAGTAAGGAACCTAAAAGAAAAAAAATAAGAAGAAGTCTCAAAAGGGAAATATTCAAACTTAAAACAGAGTTTACACTCCCACCCTTGGAGTAGCCAAATGTCCAGGATACTCCAATTTCCTCTTGACTGGTTCACACACTTCTAGTTCCTTCCCTAACCTCACCTAAGCCCTCTTTGCCTCCCAGAAAGTGGGAAATGTTCCTTTTAAAGAGATCAAATGAAACGGGGAGAGAAACTATATATTTTAGTCTGAATTCCCCATCAACTCAGAATGGAGGCAGTGTTGACCTAACTTAGCACCATATACCTCAACTTTCATCTGGTACCTTTGTATACCCTTGCCCGGTGCCAGCAATCAGCCCTGTGTCTCCCACTCAGCTCTCCCAGGCTTCTTAGAACTCAGATTCCCAAGACAAAGGACAATTGAGGCTCAGTTAGTGCTCAGGTTTACTGAGAATTAAACCATATGCAGATACCATCAAAACACATCTCACTTGTGACCTTTCACAGCCAACGAATTGGGAGGATTTTCCTTTGCTGGGTATTGAATTTAAAACGACTTCCCAGGAGTCAAAGGTCAGCCTGTGGAATCATGATATCCAGTTAAATACAGCTAAATAGAACGTTTTAGCATGACAATAAATGGAGTTATATTTAGCTGATTTGGGAAACTATCTGGCTGAGGGAAAAGGAGGGTTACATAGGTTCTTCATCTGCTACCTCTATTCCCCTGACTGGGATAAGTAATGGATTCATGGGGAGGATAAAAACCACACAAATAAATAATTTAACCAAATCTATCTAGTGAGACTGTTTTGCTTTCCCAACATATACCATGTTCTGAGTAGGACCTGCCAGTCAATGTACATAAAGGCCATATTGTTTTCGTGACACACATGAAATCCCTATTAGCATGACTCCAGTAAGATGGTCTCCAAAGGGAGAACATACCCTCAAATAACTTTCTAGGCAGCTTTGATTTCTAGATATGTGTGAGGCGAAAGCACATTAACCCAACTGGCTTTGATAACAAATGCATTCTTCTTTAACAAGGCAAGACTGAAGGGAGAAAAAAAAAAAAGTTGGCACCCCTCTCCCTTTAACTTGAAATGCCCCATGCCATTTTGAAATAGCCTCATATTTTGCTGTTGTTAACTAACTGATGGTTCTGTTAGCCAGTGACTGTGTCTCTAAATAACTCCCAACAATAAAAGGCTGTGATACATGAGAGCAACATGGGGACCATAAGTGGTAGCCTTTTACCTCTAGACTCTTACCTTGCCGTCCATTCTGAAACTTGATGTGTGTAATTGCAGCCACTGGGAAGGTGTGGGGTGCCATAGCATCGCAGATCTGCCAATAGTTAGAAGAGATTACAGGTGTATGTTGTTTGCTTAGAAGGGGAAAAATATATTTAATTGAAACCAATTTGGAAATCATGATCCCTGTGAGCTTTAGACTGAGAATGTTTTCAATGAAACACTGTTTTCATCCTGGCTCTGAGAGACCCATAACATTTCTCTCCCAGACTAAGTGTGCTACTTGATAGGCAATCCACTGTTTATGCCTGTCCCCCAAGACACTGTCCACTACACAATAAACTCTGGGAAAACATAATCCCACAGTGATTTAGTAGAATCCATAGACCTTACCTTGTGGATTCCATCTCACATTTAGTTTCTCTTACAGTAGCCAATCTCTCTGCAGACAAAGTCTTTTTCTGACAAAGTGACCTTCTTCCATTTTATCTTTTTAAATATCTCACCTGTTCTGGCTATTTCTAGCTGTATAACTTGCCTTTTCAATAAAGACATGCATTTTGTATTTCCTTTGTCTTTGGACAATCCAAAATAGGGTGACTTAGTCTGTGGGTACAATTCAACAAATATATCCTACTTATAGCATAGTGATTGTTGGGGAAGCAACTATTTCAGTTCTCTAATTTATCCTTATTTTTCTCTTCGACAGGTTTTACTTATGAAGGGCAGGCTGGCCTTGAACTTGCTATGCAGCCTACGATAACCTTGAATTCACAATTTTCCCATCTTTGCTTCCCAAGTGCTGGGGTTATAGGAGTGCCCCACAAACCCCAGCTTCTAACTTTATCTTGCTCGGTTCTCCTCATAACTACTTACTTTCCATAGTTCCTTCAATACCGTCACCTATTCACTGCAGTGTGATACATTGATCTGTTCTACACAGAGTCTAAAGCCAGCTTCATTTCCCACTTAACAATTTAATATTTTGACCTTGGCTCAAAGAGTTCCATAGCCAGGTGCCAGTGCAGTGGTTCACACATGTAATCCTAGCTACTCAGGAGACTGAGATCTGAGGATTGCAGTTCAAAGCCAGCCCAGCAGGAAAGTCTGTGAGACTCTTATTCCCAATTAACCACCAGAAAACCAGAAGTGGCGCTGTGGCTCAAGAGGTAGAGAGCTGGCTTGAGCTGAAGAGCTCAGGACAGCACTCAGGCCCAGAGTTCAAGACCCATGACCGACAAAAAAAAAAAAAAGAGTTCCATAGCAATTTTAGCCTGGCACTGAAATACCACCCCTCTCTAGATTCCTCTCTCATAGATGATCTCTCACCTGAGTCTGCTCTTATCCATGAATATTCTTCTTATTCTACTCTACCCCCTCTAGAAATATAAGTCATCCTCCAATACCTATGACTATAAGATGTCTAAATAAAGTATACATTACATAAATTTCCTTTTGGATACAGATTCTAGAATCTGCTGTAGTAATCCCATCAATGAGGTAAAGAGATAATGGTAAAGTGAACTAAGGTAGCACCAATAGAATGGAAGACATACTCAAAATTTTTGTTGCCGTTGTTCTTATTTGTTGATACTGAAGTTTGGACCAGGGCCTTGAATTTATTAGGCAGGAGCAGCTCTTTTTGCTTTCACTTGTTTGTTTTTCTTTCAGAACTCTGTTTAATTTATATCCTTTGTCACCTGATATGCTTTGTACATCAGCAGATAGAGATTATGAATTGGCTTTTTTCAGCCAGCTTCATTAAACAAGGATTGTAATTTTTTTTTTTTTTGCCAGTCGTGGGGCCTGAACCCTGGGCCTGGGTGCTGTCCCTCAGCTCTTCAGCTCAAGGCTAGTGCTCTACCACTTGAGCCACAGCACCACTTCCAGCTTTTTCTGTTTATGGATGCTGAGCAATCGAACCCAAGGCCTCAGGCATGCAAAGTAAGCACTCTACCACTGAGATACCTTCCCAGCCTGGGATTGTGAAGTTTTTGCACAATTTAAGATTTTATTATTCCCTGTTGCCTTTTCTTTCTTTCTTTTTTAAAATTACTGTGTTTTAAATAGAGTCTCACATTTGTCCCAGAGCTTGCCTGGACCACAACCCTCCTATTTATGCTTCTCATTTAGCTGGCATGATAGGTACCTAACCCCATACCCAGCTTATTGGTCGAGATGGGGGAAGGGGTGATCTCACAAAATATTTCCCCAGACTGCCCTGAACCGTGACTTTCTGATATCCACCTCTGGAGTAGCTAGACTCACAGATATCCACCTCTGGAGTAGCTAGACTCACAGGTATGTTATTGCACCTGGCCTCAAATGATATATTCACTTTTTTTTGTCAGTATTATGATTTGTACTGAGGACCTCCCATTTGCTTGGTTTGCTTGCTCAGCTGGAACTAGAAAGCCTTAAATCACGACTCCAGCTTCAGTTTTTGGTAATTATTTCAGAGATAATGTCTGGAAATTTTTTCTGCCCAGGCTGGCTTGATCCTCCATAGGATCCTCTTGAGTACCTAGGTTTATAGGCATGAGCGTGTGCCACAAATGAAATTTTTTTAGAAGATTTGATGATTGATTGACAAAGTAAAGAGGAGAAATCAAGATATGTTTTCACATTATGGCTTAGAAAAGATAATAGATGCTGGCTGTGATAAAAGAATAGAAGAAAAAATGTTTTGGGTGAAAATAATAGGAACAATGGCTAAGTAGGCCCATCTTGGGTTTATCCCATTATTTAGCAAGGCTTTTGTTTGGTTTGCCAAATGAAGTTCTCTTCTGAGGAGAAGTTGAGTTCACTCACCTGCATAAATAGCATAGTACTTGTTTAAATCATGTTCAGGTCATCAGTGCATATATTTGGGTGGTTTTCCTCTGGCCCTTGGGAAGACCAAACATGGTCAAATGGTAGAAAGAGCTCTAGGTCAATAAGAACATCTGTGTTTTAGAGTGTAAAGCCTTACAAACTGTAAGGCCTATGGCATTTAGTAAATTGAGAGGATTCAAGAGAAATGATACCTTCTGATTCTAACATGATTATAATGAAGTTCATGAAGAGTAAGTTGAATTTCTTACAAATGTATGACCTGATTCTTAGTACTATAATTCTTTGTTGTTGTTGTTGTTGTTGTTTTTGGTCCGGTTGTGGGGCCTGAACTCTGGGCCTAGGCGCTGTCCCTCAGCTCTTCAGCTCAAGGCTAACGCTCTACCACTTAAGCCACAGCGCCACTTCCGGCTTTTTTCTTTTTTGCTTATGTGGTGCTGAGGAATCGAACCCAGGTCCTCAGGCATGCAAGACAAGTGCTCTACCACTGAGCCACCTTCGCAGCCCCAGTACTATAATTCTTAACTTATGTTTATTTTTGTCTTATCTCTCCTGTTTGGCTCATAAATAATGAAATAAAAATATTTGGCAGCTGGTGCCTCTCACCTACAGTCCTAGCTGTTTTAAAGGCTGAGATTAGAGGATTCAAAGCCAGTTCAAAGCTAGCCCAAGCAGACAAATCTGAGAGACACTTATTTCCAATTAACCAGAAAAAAATCTGGAACTAGAAATATGGCTGAAATGATTGTGACAGCCTAGAATGAAAAAACTGAGCAAGAGCTTAAGGTCCCGAGTTTAATTCAAGCCACAGTAATAAAACACACACACATACACACACACACACTAACCACCATCATCCAATTTAATCTAGATCTAAGCTTTTCACAGCACTCAGCTAGTACAGAAAAATAGAAATGCTTTGAATTAGCTATAAAATATGGTAGATTAAGACACCTCTCACTTATCAAAATATATGATAGGGAAACCTTTATCAAATTAATGAACTTTGAGTCCCAGTTTCCTGTCTACAAATGGTATGATAAAAATCTACCCAAGATTCTAATGAAAATAAACATATTTTTTATAAAGCACTTAGTAAACTACCTGGCACATTATACCTAACAAATAGAAGCCACTACAGTAGCAATGACGTGGACTCACCCACTATGTACAATCTGAAGATTAAATCAGGGAATTTGAAAACCAACAATCGTATATGGATAAATGAATAGAATACCCTATCCCTACCAAGACTCATGCACAGGGTACTCCAACTTACACTCATGGTGACTCCTGGAGTCACTATGGTTATTTATTGTTTCTCTAACATCTTCATGGTCAGTCATCATTTACTATACTCAGATAATGAATACACCATTTCAGATGGGGAAAACGCAGACTTCCTTGCTGAAGGGAGTCATGGAGTTGAAATCAAGCAAGTTCAAGTACTTAATGGTCTAAAGCCATTGTCTGTGAATAAATCACCATCCCAAGACATTAAAGAAAGCAATCTAAACCTACGTCTGGCCTTTTGCCCTTATTAAAACAGCACCCTGGAAATTGTGTCATAGACACAGGATCTGCAATCTCAAATAGCCATGAGGTGAAAGGACAAGCTTTCTGCTCTAAGAAGTCCATGTCCTCCATTTTTGAAAATGACAAATTGTGAGCAGTCTGCCATTTTTCACATAAAAATAACTCTGGGAATAATTGTACGCATCGATATGTAAGACAAATAGAAAAACAAAATGGGCTTTAAAAAAAGACAAGTCGTTTTATGAATAAAAACAACCCACGTTTTTCCCCACACCCCTTGTCATGGATTGAAATCTTTAAATGAAAATCATGTCATCATACAAATGAATTTTACAATCACCTGCCACAGTTACAGTATAAAACTACTGACAACCCACGTGCCACCCACAAAGACGAGTAATCACTCAAAATTATTTGGTGGCAAGTGACAGAAATGAACTCTTGTTAACTTATGGGAAGTAAAAACAATAATAATCAAAATAAGAGAATAAATGATAGAATCTAAAGAAAAAGTGAAGCATTGGATGTGGGAAGGACAGAATCCAATATGCTCCTGAGTAATAGGAGATAGGCAGGAACAGACAACGTGAGGACAGCCACTGGAAGGACTCATTCTAGTGTTGTGTGTCAATGTCTAGTCACTGGAGAAACAAGATTCTGCGATGGTAGAATAGCCTTATCTCAGATATGCGTCTAGGCAGAATGGCAGAATGAATATGGCTATCCCCTCAGAAGAATTGTTGGAATACCAATTAACAAAGGAAGACGGAAGGGCAGTTGAGTGGACAAAGCCCACAGTTTCTGTACAGCACATCTTAGAGAATATTGGTGCTAGGTACCAATAAGCCCAGGTTTACAGAACATACTTGTGCAACTTGATTCATAGTATCGAGGTAGTATGAAAGTATGTTATCAAAATAGTATTAAATTTATTTTTAATTATCAAAATTAATATAATTGTCAAAAATCTGGTATATATATGTTTATTTTTAATAAACTCTTTCGATCTGGGTGTGAGGGGTGGTGCAGTGCTTCAGTACTTGAGAGGTCTGAGTTGAGGCAGTTGGATTGCAAATTCAAGGCTCACCTAGGTGACATATCTGTGGAAGCCTGAGTACCCTATCCCAAAAACAAAACCACCTTTTTCCCAGCTGTGCTGCTGCAGCAGCAGCATGCATAGACACACGCAGCCACCATAAAACACAGAGGATGCTTTCTAGCCACACTCAAAGCATCCAGAACTATAGATAAATACTTGACTTCATGTGTTAGGACAGGATGTTATACTCTGTGATTAGAGTATCAGAACTCTTTCTACAGGAGGATAAAGGATGTCCTCAAAAACTAACAGGTCCACCAGGTGTCAGTGGCTCATGCCTGTAATCCTGGTTACTGAGGAGGCTGAAATCTGAGAATCATTTGAAGCCAGCCTGGGCAGGAAAGTCTGTTAAGACTCTTATCTCCAGTATACTCAGAAAAGGCCAGAAGTGGTACCATGGCTCAAATGGTAGACCACTTTCTTTGAGCTCAAAGAGACTCAGGGAGTGTCCAGGCCCTGAGTTCAAACCCCACAACCACCACCACCAACAACAACAACAAAACAGATCAGAAAGAACTACTCAGCAAGCTGTTATTATTCTAATATGAGAAGCAAAATAAAATCGCATAATGATTGAATTAATCAGAATAGTCAAATCTAGTTTTCTCAGGTAATAGTGAATATGAGAAAGGAAAATTTCATTATGACATCAGGAAAAAGAAAGTTTCTTTAAAGAGTATACAAGATGATTATAATATAGTTATAGGTTGCTATATGTGCATATTTGTGCATATATTAAAAGCATATGTGTGCTTTTAATATACAGCTATTGCTGAGTGCCAGTAGCTCATGCCTGTAATCATAGCTACTCAGGAGGATGAGATCTGAGGATCAAGGTTCAAAGCTAGCCCTAGCAGGAAAGTCCATTAGACTCTTATCTCCAATTAATCACCAGAAAGTCTGAAGTGGACCCATGGCTCAAGCTGTAGAGGCTAGCCATGAGCACAAAAGCTCAGGGACAGTGCCCAGGCCCTGAGGTCAAGCCCTGGAACCAACAGCAAACCAATGCACTTGTTTCTGTGTGTACAGAAAAGGGTGAACACAAAAATTCATAAATCAGCACATGGATCCAGAAAATACAGTTTTAGTCTCAACAACAAATACTGTGTAACACCAGTAATCACAGGCAACAGACATGTGGAAAAAAATCAATCGGTGTATCAATCCTAGAGGTGATACCCAAACCCAAATGTTAAAAAGAAGTTGGCAGACATACGACGAATTATTAAAACAAAATCGTAAAATAGGAATTCATTCTTTATTGTCTGTGCATAGAATTTCTGAGTGACTACTGATTAAAATGAAATGCTTATTTGATATATAATTGTACTCCAGGAATGTTAAAAGTAGATCAGTGTTTTACAATGGCAAGATGGTGCCCAATTGTACGTGAAGAAGACTCCAGATTACCCAAAAGTAAGAAAATATGCATTGTAAATTCCTTCTATTAACCATATAGTATAAGAATTAAATACAGCAATAGACTCTATTCAAGGTTGGCTATACAATTAACCGTTGTTTCCTCATCAAAAACCAAATTAAAATGTAGGAACTGAGGCAGGAGAGCTAAGAGTTCAAGGATAGCCTGGACTACATAATGACAACCTATTTCAAAATAAAAACAAATCAATCCAAAACTTTGGCAAAGTAGAAGGGTATAAAATTAACCCTCAAAAATCAATGGCTTTTCTGTATGCTAATAATGAGAAGAGCACGGCTGAAATCAGGAAAACAACTCCTTTTATAATAGTCCTACAAAAAATAAAATACCTAGGAGCTAACTTAACTAAAGAAGTGAAGGACTTCTATGATGAAAACTTTAAAAACCTGAAAAAGGAAATTAAAGCAGAACTTATGAAGTGGAAAAACATCCCATGCTCCTAAATTGGGAGGAATAGCATCATGAAAATGGCAATATTGCCAAAGGCTATCTACAAACTCAATGCAATATCCCAACCTCATTCTTCAAGAAAATAGAAGAAGCAACCCAAAAATTTATATGGAACAAAAAAAATACCCCAAATTGCAAAAACAATCTTTAGCAGAAACAACAGTGTTGGAGGAATATCAATACCAACCTTCAAATTCCACTACAAAGCCATAGTAATCAAAAGAGCTTGGTACTGGCACAAGAACAGACCTAAGGAGCAATGCAATAGAACTGAAGACCCAGAAATGAACCCACAGACCTATAGCCACCTAATCTTTTATAAGGGAGCTAAAAAAATAGAATGGAAGAAAGACAGCCTTCTTCAGTAAATGGTGCTGGCAAAATTGGTTAAGCACCTGTAGAAAACTAAAGCTAGATCCTTCTATATAACACCCGCACCAGAACCAGCTCCAAATGGATCAAAGACCTCGGAGTCAAAGCAGACACTGTGAAAACGTTACAGGAAGGAATAGGAGAAACCCTAGGTCTCCTTGGCACAGGCTGAAATTTTCTTAATAGAGACCCAGAAACACAACAAAGCAAAGAAAGGTTGGACAAATGGGATTGCATGAAACTGCAGAGCTTCTGCATGGCAAAGGACATGATTAGCAAAATCAATAGAAAGCCCACCGATTGGGAGAAGATCTTCACTAGCCAGACAATGAACAAGGGTCTCATATCTAAAATATACCTGGAACTCAAAAAATTAAATCCCCCAACAACAAATCTTCAAAGAAACAACTACCGATAAATAAGTGGGCTAAAGACTTAAAAAGAAACTTTTCTGAAGAGGAAGGTAGGATGGCCAATAGACACATGAAGAAATGCTCAACCTCTCTAGCCATAAAAGAAATGCAAATCAAAACCACATTGAGATACCACCTCACCCCAGTTAGAGTGGCTTTAATTAAGAACTCTAATAACAACAGATGCTGGAGGGGATGTGGCCAGAAGGGAACCCTACTGCATTGTTGGTAGGAGTGTAAACTTGTTCAACCACTTTGGAAAGCACTATGGAGGTTCCTCAAAAGACTCCACATAGAGCTCCCCTATGACCCAGCAATCCCACTTTTAGGCATTTACCCAAATGACCACAAACAAGGCCATACTAACGGTACCAGCACAATTATGTTTATTGCAGCATTATTCACCATAGCTAAGATATAGAACCAACCCAGATGCCCCTCAGTATATGAATGGATCAAGAAAATGTGGTAGACAGGTAGATAGACAGATAGGTAGATAGATAGATAGATAGGTAGATAGATAGATAGGTAGATAGATTTAGGTAGATAGATAGATCTATCTACCTTTATCTATAGATATAGATATAAATATATATACATATATATATCTATAGATGTATATATACAATGGAATTCTATACCTCCATCAGAAAGAATGACACCTCCCCATTTGTTAGGAAATGGAAAGACTTGGAAAAAATATTAAGTGAAGTAAGCCAGGCCCAAAGAAACATAGGTCCCACTGTTTCCCTTATCTGCAATGACTAGTATATGTCTCGAACAAGCAGAAAAGGTCAAAAGGTATGTACATATGACCCTGTAAGATGATGCTAGGTGAAATGAACCCCAAGATAGGAACACAAGAGGTTTTCCCTTTCTGGCTGTTGTTTTAATGTACCTATAATATACTAGGTGATTTTTTTTGTTTCTTTTGTATGTTCTTCCCCCATGGTATAACCCCTGTTTTCACTGTGTTTGATTCCTGTGCCCTATATCTTGCATATACATTTTTCTAATTTGGGGAGAGGAAGGAAAATAACAAAATGCTGAAATAAGGACATAGGTTGACCCATTGTAACAATGAGATGTACAAGACACTATGTTGAAAATGAATTTTACAACTTTGGGTGGGGGAAGGGAGGAGTTGGAGAGGTGGGGAGGGAAGGGATGGTAGAGGAAAACAAAGGAGGGGGTAACAATGCTCAGTAGGAAATGTACTCACTACCTTACTCATGTAACTGTAACCTTTCTGTACAGTATCTTTACAATAAAAAATATATATTAAAAAAAGTAAAATTAAGCTGAGTGCTAGTGGCTCACATCTGTAGTCCTAGCTCAGGAGACTGAGATCTGAGGACTGAGGTTTGAAGCCAACCTAGGCAGAAAAGTGTCCTATCTCCAACTAACCACTACAAAGCCAGAAGCAGAGTTGTGGTTCAAATGGTAGAGTTGCTAAGACTTGTGAAGAAAAAGCTAATAGACAGAGCCCAGGGCCCCTGAATTCAGGCTCCAGGCCCAGAATTCATACACACACACACACACACACACACACACACACACACACATACACACACACACAAAATCAATTTGGATCCTGTAGTCAGTCTTAATTTTTTTTTATGTCTGCTAATCGTTTTGCAACTGGGAAGATTATTGCAACCCCAGAAATAGTATCTTCTTAATTATAACAGCCAGGAAGGCAATCTTGAGAAAGATATAAAATTAAAATTAAGGAAAAAGATATAAATAGAGATAATGAGGAAACAAATGCAAACCATGGTGTTATGAAACTTTTAAAAACAGGTTTTATGCAGTATTTTTACTTGAGTTTTGTGATCACTATGGTATTTTGTAACCATTGCAATATTTGCTTATATGGCTTACTTGGAGTAATGTTTAAAATATTGAGCATAAGGGATAATAAGCATTCACATTCAATTACAATCATGTGATTAAATATATAATTAATGATTACCTTTCTGTTACTTTTTTAAAATAAAGCTACTTATTTCTTCATATATAGCTAGGTCAGTAGAGTGAAGATATTTAGACCAGAAGTCAGCAAATATTTTCTATGAATGGTCAGATAGTCAATAGGTTGCAAGTTAGATCTTCTCTGTCAAATCACTAAGCTCTACTGTTGTACACCAAAAACATGACAGATAAAAATAATCAAATGTTCCTAACTTACCAAGAGGTGGATATCTGAGGATCATGGTTCAAAGCCAGTCAGGAAGGTCTGTGAGACTCTTACCTCCAATGAGCTACCAAAAAGCCAGAAGTGCAGCTGTGGCTCAAATAAGAGAGTGTAGCAATCATGAAGGAGATGTTGTGACACCCAAAAAGGAGAACAGGAAGGAAGGAAGGAAGATTGGGTAGGAAGACCCTCAGGCTTTAGTGAAACTCCAGAAAGTCCCAGTCAGCAGGAGGAGATGCCCAGGGCAAATACTGTCCATGAGAGGAGCCCACAATGGGGAGCAATGAGCTGGTTCTGCAGCATCTGGGCTCACATAGTTCCAGGGGAGAATTCCTAAAAGTGCATGCAACTAAAACTGAAGCCACAATGGAACCTAAAGCTTCCTCAATCAGGAAGCGGTGTGTAAATTACACTCAAAAGCAGACTCTCCTAATGGGAATTCTAAAGGGGTGTACCTTCATTGCCATGATCACGGACACACACACAAAAAAGATTCCTGTTTCTAAGGCTTTTTGTTGTTGTTCTTGTTGTTGTTTGCCAGTATAGGAGCTTA